ATAAATATTTTTAAAAGAAAAATAACATGACCTTAGTCTTAACAACTTATTGTTAGTCTACCTTGCTGTGTATGCCATTTAATAGTCATAAACCTCAGTGAGATAGGACCATTGTATTCATTTTGCAGATGAGAAGACTAAAGCTCAGGCAAGTTTACTTACCTAATAACTGGGACTTAAAGTCTGTCTGCCTCTACTTGCCTTATACAAAGCCATCAGTAGCCATAGGTAAATAAAACTATTTAAGTCTTTTATAGGAACATTTTTATTTCAGAAACACAATACTTCATATCAGAAAGTCAAATTTAGGTTTAAGCAAGAGAACTAAGGCTTTGGAGGCAAAGACATCTCGGTTTAAATCTGGCCTTTACTCCTGACTAGCTGGGGGAATTTGAGTAAATTATATAACTTCTTTGAGCTTCAACATGTATAAAATGAGTTAACAAGGTTTCAAAGCATTCTTGCAAAGATTGCAAAGTGCCAAGCCCAGGTATTATGTAATCAATCAACAGTAGCTAATGATATTATTCACAATCAAGAAAAAGTATAAATAAAACTGACACAAAACTGTTAAAATTGAATTTAAAAACTTAATTTAGGAATAGACTACTCTTTTTCCCCACGATGAATGTTTTGTTACCCATAATAGGAATACATGTATTCCTATGTATTCCATGTATTGCACACTTGTTCATACCATACCTAATGCGTAAGAATATACGGTCAATTCTTGATAATCCAAGAGTATATTAACTGCTTTGTACTTAAACTGTTTTTAAAATATCATGGGAAACCCATTTTTCTCTCCCTTAGGGAGAAGCTGACTAGAAAACTGTAATGCCCAACCTCTTCCACCAAGCACACATAAGTGGCTCCCAAACCTCGCCATAGAAGTTTTACTTATTCAGACCCCAACCTCCCTCAAGTGTTCTAGTCCCTTCATTGGTTCTTCAGACTTCATCACTGGGTAAAGTGGAGAAGAATCAGCATGATCAGTGCTTGCTACTTCATTACTGGGCCTGGCTGGGGAATTAATTCTTTCTGGGTTATCTGCGGTATTTGTGATTAGATCCTTACCTCCTCCAATACTACCAGTTATTGTCATTAATTAATAGTTGCCCATATTGAATTAGTATAACTTAAGAATCTATAACAACTTTAAACCATTTTACTTCCTTTTTTATAAAAAACCGCTTTGGAAAACTAAGTTCTTATCATTACGTAATTATTTCAAGTTTTTGTTCAGTTTAAAAAATTGCTTTAATATTACTTATAATATTTAGTATATATGTTAATAAAGTTAGTAATGTCATAAAGAAATAATAAATCCTGGGTAGTTAAATAGTCCCTGAGATACTGGTTAATACTATACCAATACTGCTATGTATCTGTTAAGCTACATTATAAAAATACAAGAAACATTACCTTGGTGTTCCTCTAAATCCATGTCAAGTTGTCTAATTTCATCATTAAACTGATTTATCTTTTCTTTTATATCTGTTAGCCTGTTGAAAATATTTTTAATGAATTTATAAAGATAATGAAGACATTGAGTAAAACATTTAATGATGTTAGGATATCTTTTCTAAGTTGCATAAACAATATCTAGAACTAATATGCCCTATTCTGAGGACAATACTATAAATTCAGAGAGAAAAATCTTTTTATAGACTTTTTTTATGATTCCTGTTTGGAGCAGAAATATATTCTGAGAACATTAGGCTGGCTGACTTCAACAGGAGACCCTTGTCAACCTTCTTTTGAGTTTGACTTGGAATATTAAGAAAGTAAAAAATCTTTAACAACCTTCTTTTTGTAGGTTTGTAAAAACTAAACTAAGTCAGCAAATTAGTCTCAAAAATTAGAAAATAACGGAAAATCCACCATTAGTAGAAGATTATACGAGTTAGAATTTTAATGAAAAGCAGTTATACTTACTATAAAGTTATAGTAATCAAGATAATGTGGTACTAGAATAAGGACAGACATATATATGAATGAACTAGAATTGCGAGTCCAGAAATAAAACCATATACCTATGGTGCCAAGATAATTAAATGGGGAAAAAGGAGTATTTTCAACAATGGTGCTGGGACAAGTGGATATGCACAAACAAAGAATAAAATTGGACTCCTACCACATATCATATAAAAAAATTAACTCAAAATGGACCGAAGATAAATTTAAGAGCTAAACTATAAAATTCTTAGAAGAAAACAGAGGCATAGTCTTCATGACCTTAGATTAGGCATTGATTTCTTAGATATGAGACCAAAAGCACAAGTAACAAAAGAAAAAAATAGATAAACTGGACATCATCAAAACTGAAAACTTTAGTGCTTCCAAGGGTACCATCAAGAAAGTGAAAAAACCCATGGGAGAAAACCCTCAGAGAAAAAAACCCCAGAGAAAATTTTTGCTAAGCATGTATCTGATAAGGTACTTCTATTTAAAACATATAAAGAACTGTTACAATTAAATAAGAAAAAGACAAATAATCTCGTTAAAAAATGGGCAAAGCTCCCATGTTTACTGCAGCACTATTCACAATAGCCAAGATCTGGAATCAACCTAAGTGTCCACTAATGGATGAATGGATAAAGAAACTGTGGTACATATACACAATGGAGATTTTTTTAGCCATAAAAACGAATGAAATCCTGCCATTGGCAAAAACATGGATGGAACCGGAGAACATTATGTTAAGCAAAATGAACCAAGCACAGAAAGATAAATTTTGCATGCTCTCACTCATAGTGGGATCTAAAAATTAAAACAATTAATTAATCTCACGGAGATAGACAGTAAGAATGATGGTAACCAGAGGCTGGGAAGAGTAGCAGGGGAGGGGGGAATAAAGTGGGGATGATTAATGGGTACAAAAATATAGGCAGATATAATGATCAAGATCTAATATTTAATAGCACAATAGGGAGACTATAGTCAACAATAAGTTATTGTATACTTTAAAATAACTAAAAGCGTGTTCCTAAATCAAAGAAATGATAAATGCTTGAGGTGATGGATACCTCAATTATCCTGAGTTGATTATTACACATTGTATGCCTGTATCAAAACATCACACGTACCCCATAAACACATACAGCTATTATGTTCCCATAATAACTAAAAATTTTTTTTAAAATGGGCAAAGGATCTGAATAAACATTTCCTCAAAGATATACATATGGCCAATAAGAACGTGAAAAAAGCTCAACATCATTAGCCATCAGGGAAATGTAAATCAAAACCGTAATGAGACACTACTTCAAACCCATTAAGATGGCTATAATCAAAAAAGACAAATAATAACAAGTGTTGGTGAGGATGTGGAGAAACTGGAGCCCTCATACACTGCTGGTGGAAATGTAAAATGGTGCAGGTGCTTTGGAAAACAGTCTAGACGTTCCTCAAAAGTTAAACATAGAGGACAACAGGAGCCAGCAATTCCACTCTTAGGTATACATACAGGAGAAGTGAAAACATATGTCCACACAAAAACTTGTACATGGATGTTCACAGTAGCATGATTCATAATAGTTAAAAAATGGTAACAACTCAATTATCTATCAACTAATGAGTAGATAAAATATGGTATATCCATACAATGGAATATTATTTGGCAATAAAAAGATATGAAATATTGATATATACTACAATACAGATGAATTTTGAAAACATTATGCTAAGTAAACAGCCATATAGAACCACATATTATAGGATTACATTTATACAAAATGTCCAGAAGAGGCAAATCTACAGGGACATAAATTAGATTATTAGTTGCCTAGAGCTGGAAGAAGGGTGAGGAAGGTGATAGTTAAGGGATGTGGGGTTTTATTGGGGTAACTGAACTGTTCTAAACTTGATTGGGGTGATGGTTGCACAACTCTGTGAATATATTAAAAAGCTCTGAATTGTACACTTTAAATATGTGAATTACAAGTATGAATTATGTATTAATAAAGCTGTTTTAAAAAAGCAATTATACTGTGCAATGGCTCTTAATTAAACATTTAAAGAAATATTTAAAACTGTAAGATTGAAGGCTGTATCAACATTAGCAATGTGAACCAAAGAAAGAATTCCTATAACAATATGTACTCTTGTACCTTTAGAATGTAATTTAAAAAATGAAGAATTGATGTAAAATGTCCTAGTACAGAGATACTTACTGTCTCTCCATGCTGGCTATTTCCTGATTATCTTCTTTAACCTATAAAGGCATAAAAAGAAAATAATATTTAAAGAATAACTCTATTGTAAGACTATTTTAACGATAATTTCCTTCTAGAGTATGCTATACTAAAATGTCAAATCCAGTCCCTTTCTTGAAACCTATATCTTAGATTTCAACCTTTGAAGTTAAAGGAAACATCACTAAGGAACTATTCACCGATTCCTTCCTTCTTCAAATAAAAGGTAGTAACTGATACACCCACACCTACCCACAAGGCAACATCAAGTTAACGCATCTTCAGGGCTAGATCCATTTATATAAAAATCTAGGATTTCTGAGACCACTTGTCTTCCCAATGTAGGGTTTCTAGATTTAGCAAGCCCAGTTAAATTTCAATTTCAGATAAATAATGAGTAATTTTTAGAGTACATAGGTACCAAGGAATATTTGGAATTTCCTTACCATCTTCATATATATATTCATTCTAAAAGATTATTCATTGCTTATCTGAAATTCAAATTTAACTAGCCATTCTGTATTTTATCTAATACACCTACCACAAGATCACTCTTTCCTTCCCAGCCTCCACTGATTTCTTTCCAAGGAACTCCCGAGATTCTAGATTTTAAAACCTTTCTGGAATGATTCTAACACTTAAATGGTCGCTGAATTGATCCATAAGGTTCTTCTAAACACACTGGGCTCAATCTAAGACCACAAAGGAGTTCCTTACTAGAGCTGTATCCAAATATGCATACAGTTCTTCTAAGGGCCCTATAGTTAGGCTGTCTCAAGACAAATAACATGCTAATTTTAACTTAGCTAAACTAAAGCCAGCCTTGGAGAAGTAAGAAAGCTACCGAATACATGTGACACAATTTTGTTACAATCATAATTTCATAGGATATTTTAATTCTATTCCCTTCATGGAGGCACTGATCGTAATAACAACAAAAAGTCATTAGCCTTGGGACACTTCATTCTCTAAATACAAGGCCCAAAACAAATAATGAAGAATATCTTCAATAAGATTATCTAAATATTTAATGACCTTTTAGAGTTTCAAGTTTTCCTAATAAGGATCCAAAACATGAAATAATAGCCAAAATATGCACAAAAACCATATATATGAGAATTTAAACCAAAAAATAGTTTATGTGAGGAAATGAAACAAATCAACACATTTACCAAAACCTGACATATTAAAATAAGCATGTTTGTTTTTCCTACCTGCTTAAGTAATTTCTCTCTCTCTTCCATTGGAGATCCCATGCTTTTGTCTTCTGCAATCATTTGCTGTCGATGGGATTCTAACTCATAAAGTTTTTCATGCAGCAATACAGCTTCCTGTTTTACCTGGGAGTGTGCTATTTCCTAAAGAAAACAAAAAAGGGAAAATTTTAATTAGAATTTTGTCAAAAATTATTCTCAAATAAGTTTCAGTTTATAAAAATAAGGATAAATTTAAACTACCAGCATCTTTAAATATAGATATCAAATACCTTTAGTACTCAATAATGCTACAAAGCCCATTTCTAAACAGGAAGAATGAAAATAAATCCCTGTATACTGTCATAAGTTATTTTTAGTCTAAGATTCACAAGGAGTTGGTAGCTATAGTTTATTTTATTTTCTAAATATAAGACCTGAACAAATATAGGACCTGTCTGCCAATGGAAAATAAAATGTAACAATATATCTACAACTTTAAAAATATGATGGATGTCTGATTCAAAGTCAATAACGTGATCTCTAGAGCAGCAGTCTCCAACCTTTTTGGCACCAGGGACCTGCTTCATGGAAGACAATTTTTCCACTGATTGGGTGGGGTGGGGGTGTGGGGGATGGTTTCAGGATGATTCAAGTGCATTACATTTATTGTGCTGTCAAACCTCTCTGCTGTTTTTTTGTGCCCTTCCTTTTATACTTCCTTTGCTACGATAATGGGAGAGCAAAAAGAAAAAACAAAAACTCTCTGCTAATGATAATCTGTATTTGCAGCTGCTCCCCAGCGCATCACTGCCTCAGCTTCACCTCAGATCATCAAGCATTGGATTCTCATAAGGAGCGCGCAACCTAGATCCCTCACGTGCACAGTTTACTGTAGGGTGCGTGCTCCTATAAAATGTAATGCCCCAGCTGTTCTGACAGGAGGCAGAGCTTATGTAGTGATGTGAGTGATGGGGAGCAGCTGTAAATACAAATGAAGCTTCCCTAGCTTGCTCACTTGCCTTCCCTGCTGTGCGGCCCAGTTCCTAAAAGGCCACAGACCAGTACCAGTCCTTGGCTTGGGGGTTGAGGACAGCAGCTCTAAAGGAAAGATATTTTCCCTTGAGTAAGTCACATATATACTTTTCCACAATGTTATGGGTTCGATTTTGTACCCTCAAAAAGATATGTTGAAGTTCTAATGTCCTAAACTTGTGAATTTGACCTTCATTTGGAAATAGTGTCTTTGCAGATTTAGTCAAGATGAGGTGATTAGGGCGGGTCTTAATCCAATATGACTGGCATCCTGATAAGAAGACCAGAGACACAACAGAGACACAGGGAGAATGCCATGTGATGACATAGGAAGAGACTGGAGTGATGCAGCTGCAAGTCAAGCATTGCCAAAAACTGATAGATACCGTCAGAAGCTAAGAAGAAGTAAGGAAAGATTCTACCCAGAGTCTCAAAGGAAGCATGGTTTTGCTGACACCTTGATTTTAGACTTCTAGTCTCCAGAACTGTAAGAAAATAAATTTTTGTTGTTTTAAGCCACCCAGTTTGTGACTCTTTGTTACAGTAGTACTAGGAACTAACACATGTAATAATAGTTATTGTGTATTCACCACTATTCTATGGTTCACAAAGAGAAAATAAGGATGTAATAAAAATTTTATAACTTGTGATATGGTGTGTTCATAGGAAAAAAATTTATTAGATAACCAAAAATCTAGGAATGGGGGTGGTGGTAATGACTAAAATGACATTTGAAGCTATTATTAATATTTATTGAGCACTTGTTCTGTGCCAGGCAATGTACTCCATGTTCTTTATGTGCTGTATCTAATACTCAAAGCAATACTCTACAAGATAGTACTATCATCTCCATTTTACAGACGAGGAAACTGAGGATCTGAGGTCTAAATAACTTTTTCAAATTAACAAAACTAAAAGAGTTAACAATGATATCTGAAACTGGCCCACACCATAAAAATCAAATTCTTAAGAGGGAAGATCTCCTCTTTTTGAAAGTATAAAAGAAGAAATTGTTAAAAAAAAAGGAAAAAGTAGACAAGGGAAATACTTGAAAGTCTATAAGCAATGAGTTAAATATATAGCTCAAGCAATGGATGAGCTTCAGATAAGATAAAGAAAAGGTATGATGATAAAATACATATAGAAGAAATGCAAATATTTTGATTTCCTTTTTCATAGTATTTTCTCCTTTTTGCCTAACAATCCTAGACTTGTTCAAATTGCATCTTGAAAATACTGGGCCTGAAGACTCATGCTCATGACTATCCTTCACCTGATCTTTTCACACCCCTGTGAACTAAATCAGCATGATCTAATACTTCAAATAGTAGTGAACACAAGGTAGATAACCAATAAATATCAGTTGATTGACCACTATCTGACATGTTTTGTTGAAGAACAAGTCCTAAATAAATAAATACAAATAGATCTGGCAAAAGTTAAATAGAATTAGTGACATGTTATCTTGATTTGAGAATACTGTAAATTTTTTTAAATTCATGTTATTTTAGGCAAGCCAAAGAAGGGTGGCATCAGTACAAAACTAAATCTAAGGTTATAGCATACACTTCTTCCTATGGAAACTAAATTTGCCAAGTGAAATAAGACTTGGCCCTCTCCTTCCTACCCACTCCAAAAAAAGACAGTGAGGAATTCTGCAAGCTGGCTGTGTTAATAATAAATGTGGTCCTTCTTCCTTAAAGCATATTTCTATAACCACAGAGATACGAGGAAATAAAAATTAAATGTACCTACAGATGGAAAACAAACATAGAAAACCACCTTAATATTTTTTTTTGTTTGTTTTTAAACAGAGTCTCACCCTTTTGCCCGGGCTAGAGTGAGTGCCATGGCCTAGCTCACAGCAACCTCGAACTCCCGGGCTCAAGCAATCCTTCTGCCTCAGCCTCCCGAGTAGCTGGGACTACAGGCATGCGCCACCATGCCTGGCTAATTTTTTTTCTATATATTTTTAGTTGTCCGATTAATTTCTTTCTAATTTTAGTAGAGACGGGGTCTCGCTCTTGCTCAGGCTGGTCTCGAACTCCTGAGCTCAAACAATCTGCCCGCCTCAGCCTTCCACAGAGCTAGGATTACAGGCGTGAGCCACGCGGCACCCGGCCGTTACAAAAAATTTTTTAAAAAATTATCCAGGCACTGTGGCTCACGCCTGTAATCCCAGCTACTTGGGAGGCTGAGGTGGGAGGATCACTTGAGCCCAGGAGTTTGAGGCTACAGTGAGCCGTGATCACACCACTACACTCTAGTCTGGGTGACAGAGCAGGACTCCATCTCAACAAAAAAAGAAAGGCAATTTGACGATCTTACATTTTAGAAGTGGGTATACCTTTCAATAAAATGAGGGAAATTAATCTTATGATATATTAATATAACTGTATAAAATGTACATTTTCACTGGAGCATTGTTTAGAAAACAATAATCACTGTTTCTTCTATAAGGCTGTTATAATGATACAATGTAATATAATTCCATAATTTAAAATAATGAGAGGGATTTCTAAAAATTAATGTGAATAAACATTCAAGATAGGATGTTAGGGTGAAAAAAAAGCTACAGACAGCATATGAAGTATGAACCCCATTTGAGGTTCTCCACGACTGTAAAACCAAGATGGGATTACAAGATTGTTGTGAAGATTAAACGCCTATGCTTGGAGATATGTGTAAAAAGCTCAAAAAACCACATACTAAGCACTCAATAAATGTCTTTTGAGTAGTTCTGTCTAGAAAGAGGGAAACAAAACAGATACTTTTTACCTTTATTTTTTTCAATTTTGTTAACCATAAAAGTGTTTTGTGCTGTGAATTAAAAATTGCTTTAAATAAGTGAATAAGAAAACAAATGCAAACTTTAACTTCCTTAAAGTGATTAACTCTTCTCTCTCCCTCTTCATTTGTTTTTAGTCTCTGGTATATGTGTCTTTAAATTGCCATTAGATTTGTATGCCCCAACAGGGCAGAATGATTTGTTTTGTACACAGTAGGTACTCACTCACTCACTCATTCATTCATTTATAGAGACAGGGTCTTCTTGCTCTGTCACCTAGGCTAGAGTGCAGTGGCATCATCAATCATAGCTGACTGTAACCTCAAACTCCTGGGCTCAAGCAATCCTCCTACCTCATCCTCCTGAGTATCTAGGACTACAAGGCATGCCACTGCACCCAGCTAACTTTTTTTTTTTTTTTTTCAGAAACAGGGTCTCACTATGTTGCCCAGACTGGTCTCAAATTCCTGGCCTTAACTGATTCTCCCGCCTCAGCTTCCCAAAGTCCTGGGATTACAGGCCTTAGCCACTGTACCTGGCCAGTACTCAATAATTAAATCTAATTTATTACCAAACTAAGATCTTTGTGGTCCTGAATGAAAAGAAAAAGTATTGAACTTCTGTTAGTATACTGCTAAATAAATATGTACTTGAATGAGTTCTATTAAAATATTTGGCTGAATTATCTTTTGTAACTCAGTAGTATTAAGAACCCTTATTTGATTTTATACTTACAGTTTCTAGGCTCTCTTTTTTCATGTTCAGTGAATCTAGTTGTTGCTGAAGTGTATCTAATTCCTAAGGAAAAAAAACAGTCAATATAAATACAAATTACATTAAGAATAATTTGTTTCTCCATTTCTCACATATGGATGTGACTAAGTAAGTTTTATAAACATCTTAAACCAGTATCTTGCATTTTGACTAGAATTTATTAACATTTCATTATATTTACTTTTGCCAATGTCTGTCATTATTCCCACAAACCTTGCCATCTATCTTGAAAAAAATTTCATGAGCTTGCCAAAGTTAGCTAGATCTTTTCATAGTGAATCATTACTGTGTTCTGAGAACATCAAACATAAGAAGTTTTCAAATTAATGATGTCATTGTTTAAAGTTATGATTTTTAATTTTGATTTTAAACCATATTTTCATATTTTTGCCCAATTTCTCTTAAGGTCAAGATCTATACCATATAAACATATACACAAACACACACATACACAAGTAAACATGGTTCACTCCTAGGATAAGACCCTTAAAATGATTATTCATTGATAAGCCCTGTACAAGATTAACTATATTTTGGTAGTATTTTGGCATTTCTATAATACTCTTTCTTCAATGCTTCATGGTATTTTATAAATCTTTTCTGAAATAAAAAATTATACTAAATTGTCAGTGAAGGAATATCTGAGAAAGTAAAACTATATTCATTATTGGCATTTATGGGGTCTAATTCTTTGCTTACTCTTTAGTTAAGGGTCATCCGGGCATGAAAAGGCACGATCATGACTGAACATTGGGAGGATTCTCAATAACCTCTCAGCAGGCACCTAAATTGTTTATTTAATAGCACATGTTCTCACTCATATTTGAAAGCTAAAATGTTGATCTCATGGAAGTAGAGGGTAGAATGATGGTTACCAGAGGCTGGGAAGGGCTGAGGGGAGGGCAGATAAAGGGAGGCTGGTTAATGGGTACAAAAATATAGTCAGATAAGAAGCAATAAAGTCTAGTGTTTGATAGCACAGTAGGGTGACTATAGTTAACAATAATTCATTGTATATTTCAAAATAGCTCTAAGAAAAGATTTGGAATGTTCCCAACTCAAAGAAATGATGAATGTTTGATGTGATAGATATCCTAATTATCCTGATTTGATCATTACACATTATATGCGTGCACATATAATAAATATCGCATGTACCCCACACATATGTAAAATTATTATGTATCAATGAAAGACATTAAAGTAAAAAAATTAATATTTAAGCAATATGATTAGGGAACATAGCCATTCAAATCAGGGATATAGCAGGTAAAAGGTTTGCTGCT